TATTTAGGCCCCGACTCACTGGCAGATGCGGAGCTATTTATCGGAGCCTTGGGCAACTCAATGTCACAAGCGTCATCCCGCGCAACGATGGAGACCAGCATCGCACACGGCAGCGTTTCAGTGAGCAGTATTCCCGAACGGTACTTATTTATTTATTTGTCGAATTGCTCAAGGCCGAAGCAATACAGAGGAATGTGTCAAAGCGATACCAACAAAAACGAACACACCGCAAGGATTACACAAAATGAATAGCAACTCGTAAACAGTGTTCCTGAGCACTATTCATCGACAGTATCCCAAGGCAGTATCCCAAGGCAGTATCCCTCGGCGGTACCCCTCGGCAGTATCCCCGGACGGTATTTTTAAAGAGTATTACTGAAGAGTAAATTTCTGAACAGTAAATTCCTGAAAAGTAAACTCCTGGAGAGTGAATACCTGGAGAGTGAATACCTGGAGAGTGAATACCTGGGGAGTAAATTCCTGGAGAGTAAATTCCTGGAAAGTAAATTCCTGCAAAGTAAATTCCTGAAGTGTAAATTCCTAAAGAGTAAGTTCTTGAAGAGTAAGCCTGAAGAGTTTTTCTGAAGTGTATTCCTGAAGAGGATTCCTGAACAGAGTTCCTCAACGGTATTCTTCAAAGATATTTCTTTAATGGTATTTTTCGACGGTATTCATGAAAAATATTCTGGAATAGTGATCTTATTTGTGAGGAAACAATGAGCGCCATAAATTTTGTCTCCTCTTGGTGTAACAAGAACATGAGAGTTCTTATGGGAGCAGAAAAATAACGAAGATTTTGTCTGGTTGGATTTCGTTTGTCAGAGTGAAACCTCTAACAAATTTATGGCGCATTAGGTGCACAAATGCAATTCGATGGACAAACAACTCGGTCAGACGTCTACGTAATGCGTTACTTCGGTTAATATGGTTTAAATACTTTTAACTTCTCAGGATAACTTGGTACCTTGGTACTTTTTATCAATGGTCAGTTTTTGGTATTGCAATCAAACAACTCTATCTCCCTCGGCTAAGCTTCCGACCGGCGTGTTTTTGCGGCAAAAGGCTTACCTCTCGTGTGTGCAAGTCGCGACCAAAATTTCATCAAGCCCGTGTTGAACAAAAATAGTTGTGAGAAAACAAAATCTAAATAAAAATGGTGAACAATTTTGAGGTTTGGGCTAAACTCTTTGTTAACACACTGTATCTATGTTTGTCCGAATAAATATGCCACACAGACGTTCAACTCAGGTTTCTTTCTGGCAACATACGACAGAAAGTACAACCGAAGGTGGATAAAAATGAGCAGAACATAGTTTTAAGTTTTGACCACAGGTATGTGCCATGTGGTTAGAACGTCTGTGTGGTTAAACACATAAAACAAACCGACATGTTCGCGCTCTGAGGCTTGAGCGCAAAACACCTCGGTTACAAAGTAAAAAAAAAAAAACAGTAATTAGAGAACAGGCATTTATTTTTAGGAGATTTATCTTTGGATGATACTTCAATTAGGCATGTTAGTGTTTTGTCTATTTTTATATTATCATTTCGCATGAACTTTGTCAACTTCTGTCCTTCGTGCATCATAGAGTAAAAGGTCGCGGTTTTACACATGCAGGTGTACGTTCCTTTTTAAAATACATTTTAATTGAAGACGAGGAAACGATTGATATTTCCTCATGAAAAAGTATATAACCGATGTAATATATTGTAGAACACATATTTAGGGGCTGATCTCTGTTCAGGCGCCAACTGCAGCGAAACTGTAGAAGCTCGATCTGCGACCATGAGCAGACTGCCCTTCATATCTTTCTCCCGAAATATAAATTTTCACCCCTTATAACCAAACAAAACTATCACAAGATTGTTTCCACAGACTCCAGAGATGCACCATAAGTTCAACCTGGTATTTCGATTAATATGTCACACGCCGGAAACCACGCTCACATTGCTGTTCCTCCAAATCACACAGGAGGTGGCTGTACTGTAGCATGCTTTCTTGAACTTTGAAATCAGCTTCTAAGCTTTTAAACGAGGCCGTTACGAATTCATTTTGGTGTATCTGATACCGTACACGCTTCACAACCCGCAAGAAGCTACAGCAAACTTCGCATGCTTCGTGCATCGTCAGGTAATTTGTGGTAACATGTTACTAAGGGGTTCTTCCATGTTCGAAAGGTCAGTGTGCTGCAGTATCAGCTGGTCCATGGTGGCGTTCAGGCCGGGTAATCACAAAAAATCATGCAGGTGCCCTTGAAACACTTAAGTCGAAATAGGCTGCCACGTTTCTATCTGTGAATGTGGAAGTCGGTTTCATAGCTTAGCATGCTGGAGTCAACAAGCTACATTTTGCACATTTCGGCTAGCGCTAGACTGCGCCATCTTCTATCACCGCAGGCTGATTTTTAATAATTTTACGTAACCTCTGTCGTCAGAAACTTCGATGGAGATAGGCAAGGATGTGAATCGAACGACGAGGCGGAAATGGCAGACAAATGCTGCCAGAGAAGGAGACCATCTTTTCTACATCGATATGTGAAGGAGAAATTCTTTTTAATGCTTTCCGCTTTCCTGATAACCGAGTTGCACACTCCTTAAATGACTACTTCTTCGAAAACGACATCTCCATAGATTGCGTCTTCCGGAAAAAAAAATTTGTACATAAAAGCTCAAACGTATCGAACCGTTCGTTGATACAGCCCAAACAAAAGGAATGTTTTCCTGTTACAAGAATCCCCAATAAGCTCCCTCGGTTAAAGAGACGGTAAAGCGATTGTGGAACGGATATTGGTCATTGCATATCTCTGGCATATTTCAGTGTTGTATACGCCATTCCAACGTTTACAAATCGACGTTCCGACGTGCGATCCGCACAACTCAGCACGGATATGTCCGTCGCTTCGAAAAGTGAGCAAAGCATGCGGCATATAAGAACGAACGCTGATAGCGGCCATATAAGTCCGAACTCTGATAATGAGGAGGACCTTATAGCTGAAATTGTTTCGGTCTCTGTGGTTTAGTATTTCTGAAGTAAAAATTTTAGCATTCTCTCCCATTTGCAACGAAGTGACTTTCAGAACGGCTGCGCCACCCGTGGACCATGCAAAAACCTTACCGCGCAAGCCGCCACAATGTGGGCCGCAGCAAACCTACATAAAACAAGGAGTTAACATTCGAATACATTACCTAAAATAAACGTATTAATGCCTACTTATACTCTAAATTTCAGACAAGAATCGATTCGCGTCGAGTATCCAACTTTTCCATACCACGCTACGTACGACCTCGTGACAAAGAAATGCAAAAGCGAAACCTTGAAAAACCAAATTGACTTGTGGAGAGATATTTTTCTTTGGGAAGCCTTGTGATAATCCGGTTTACTCTATTTAGCATGATACTAAACGCAAGTAGATAAAGGTAACACATCATACCAGTGAAGCATAAACAACTCACTCACACCTTATACGCATGCCCAATCATACGGCGAGAAACTCCAGCGCCGCTTTCAGATTTGGCGTCGCGGCAATCGTGGAATAAATAGCTTTAAAAATTATTTAAGAAAAACAATATGCATCACACATTCGCACCGCTCTCATGCTGATACGCTGAAGACACCGACAGATGTGGTAAAGTAAAAACTATCCATGCTGTGGCGTGGAAATCCTAACGCGGCCTATGAGTGGGTCCGCAAGATACTGGAATTACTACGCCGATTGACGTACACCGACTTACTTCATCGCCACACCCTCACTATGGGACACGGTGTACACCGTGCTATGGGATGAAGTAAGTTGCTACATGGCGAAACCGATGTCTCTTCGTGTGTTGTTGCTGATTTAGCTGTGAACCCCTCCTCCCCTTTGAATACAACAGATGAAGCATCGTCTTAGCCACATTGAGACCCGCCAGTACCGGTGTCGGAATCTGGGTCACTAAAAGAAAATGTTCAACTGGTAAAAATGTCCAGTCAGATTTCTACAGTAGTAAGGTGACAAGATTGAGCATATACGCGTGGACAGACTAATACAGATCACTACAACTGCCGGAGCCTGAGACAATAAAGCAAAGTGTCTAAGGGAGTAAAAAGTTGAAACAAGAAAAAATGTCCTACGAGTCATGTCTATGAATTTCAGAATGTCCAACGAGTTGAAATGGTCATCGAGGCAAACTACCAATCTTGCACATTTTGTTCCGTTGGACATTCTTACCTGCAATCTTGTTCTTTCCCCTAGCTCGTTTTCACACCAGAAAAAGAACGAACTTTTGATTATGGTACCGACACTACACGAAGTAGTTCTTATAAGATGTGGTTGCCAGGAAAAAAAAATAAGCTTTGTGCGTTTGAAACGTATACTTATTGGCGGCCAATTGGTAATGGTGCGCAAGGAGTAAGAACATTTTTACGATGGTTATTGGGTTGAAAACAAGTATAAATCATGTCTAGTTAATATCGACCCGGCTAATACGAATACTTCACTATTTTGACCGCAGTTTCGGTGCAGAACTGGGTGAACACGGGCATTTTTGTCGCGTTAGCATGGACGACTCATTGTGGACGATATTTTTGAGGGGAACGAATGTGTCTACGTCAACAACGGTCATTCTTTCTGAAGAGCTGAAGCGCGAAAAAGCGAGTGCAGCGGGAGCGCAATGAACGCGTTGCCGGTCCCCTCGGCGTTTCACGTCGTCAGTCTCCTCTTGCCGGTGCGAACGCACACCACCGGCAGACGGGCAGACAGCGCAGAACGTGCGCTGTGTTTGATGTTCGGCTGGGCATGAAACTAAGAAGAGAACAAAAGAGCGCGCCGGTTGCGCGCCAAAATAACGATCCGTTTCACGTGAGCACGGCGCGACGGACACGAGACGATCACGTGCTCGGCGCGGCGCAGACGTCGTCCCTCGGCCAATGGGAGCGCGCCTCGGCGCCGGCGTGGAGCCGAGCCCCTTCCCCGCCTCCGAGAACCCCGTGCCGCGCCGGGCGACCGCCGCGGCGACGGCGGCCGTGGCAGACCATCCGTAACCTCGGACCTAGGCGAGCGCGCGCGGGCGTTGCACGGTGCGCGGCCGCCTAGCCCGGTTCCCAAGCGCTCGCAACCGCGGGCTCGGAACCCGGGTTCTCGCTAAGCCTAACCCGACCCAAAGACTCGGTGACCACTCGACGAATTAAAAGAAACATCGCGTGGCGAGCACATACGTACATTGGCATTCGGTTCAATGTCAGCGTTCTAGTTTTCGCGTACCGGCGAACTTGGCCGCCGCTCCGGCGTGGTTGTGCGGAAACGTGCTTCGCCGGCGCGGTCGTGCAACCGGTGTGTAATGTCTCGTAGGGTAAGCGGGGTAGGTGCATGTTAATCCTAGAAACTGAAAGGGGGGGGGGGGGGGGGTGACCGGGGGGTGAGGAAATAGCGTTGTCTGGCTCCGTAGTGTCCCCGGAACAAAGTCTACAAAGAACAGGCAGCGGTGAACGCGAGGCGGGGGCAACCGTAGCAGACGTCGCCGTCACGTGGTGCAGGGGCGGGTGGGGAGGCAGGAACGGGTGACGTCAGGCGTCCTATAAATAGGAGCGGCCGCGCCTCCGGCGGACAACGTGTGCACTCGCTCCCAAGATGCCGGCCAAGACCGCGGCCAAGTACACGTTCCTCCGGAGCGCCATGGTGGTCGCCCGCCCGGACACCGTGGACGTCGAGGTAAGTGGACCCTCTTCGCCACTCTGCGCCGGGGCACTGCGGGGAAGGACGCGGCGCGCGGGGTGTAGGACTCGGCGGGGCTAGGACAGGGCGCGAGGTTTTCGCAGGCGTTTCAGGAGCAGCCGGGATGGTGCGGCCAGGTGAGCCCCGGGCATTGATGCCTCTGCTCCGATGCAGGTCAAGATCAAAATGGGCGGCGATCTGGGTGCACCGCAAAAGGCGGACATTAACGCCAACGCGACGCCCCCGGATGCCCCTGATCCCTGGGCGCTCCCCGACCTCGAGGACCAGGGGGTCAAGTGGTCAGGTAATCCCCGCACCGGAGCCTTTCTCTCGCGCGCACACCCGAAAAAGAAAGGACCCCCCGAGGGAAGCCGACACCCGCCCGCGCTTCGTGGACCCGTTCGGGTGTTGCTGCTGTCGCGTTTCCCCGTGGCCTGCGCGCGAGCGCTTCCTGTGCGGCGTCGGGTGTCGCGCCTCGTCCCAGAGCACCGGTACCGCGAGACGGGGACAACGAGGGATTCAAGATGGCGCCGCCCAGCAGCTTCCCATTCATTCGAAAGAGCGGCCGGGAGGGCCTCCTGCGCAGCAGGCTTGGGCGCACGGCGCCTGCGTCGTGCGGCGTAGCCCACTTCCTTCTCTTCGCGCGCGCGCTCGCGTTTTGTTATTATTCCGGATATGGTGGAATCGACGCTTTTTTTTGCTCTTGTTTTTTTGTGTCACTTCTTTTTCCTTTCTTCGGAGGAAGCTCGAAATGTTGAATCACTCGCCGCCGGAATTCTAAATACGGCAGTTGAGCGCTTGTTTCTTAAAGCCGTACGAAAGGTCCGAGAATCGAGCCGCCGACTTCTCCGAAACTGGGATTCATAACGCGGCTGCCTTTTCCTGTCATTCGGCCCTCTTTTCTACGATCCCGTCTCTATGAACTAGACTTTGAATGAACGCAACCGCACGCTATCAGGATGACTTCGTAGTGAAGGCTGTGCGTGCGCCTACCGGGAGGATATCCTGCTTCCTCTTTTTCGTTTTATATCGGAGTCTCCTAACCTTTTCCGTTCATTCTGTTGCCTTTGTTTCTTACTTATTCGTCGCTCGCAGTGGCCTGACGCAAAGTCTGACAGTTGCAATTTGGACCTTTTATGTACAAAAAAAAAAAAAAAAAAAACGAGAGTATTGCAATTGCTCGACGAGATTTCCGTTGGGGAGTTTACGAGGTTAATTCATTTCTTTGTTCCGATCGGTTCTCCTTCGTCGCTTTTAACCGGTCACGCTGCGCCCACGTGACTCATGTTCATAAAGGAAAGACGGTGTGCGCCTCCTCAGTCGTGACCTCTTCTTCGAATATGGCCGCTCCAGATTGCTCAGGTTTATTTCCAAGCACTCGTGCCAAGGAGCGCACCTCTACCTCGGGTGACGGCGGTGAATGACGTCGGCTTGCGAAATGGCGCGCTTCAAGACTTCGGATGTCACAGCTGTCAGGCATAACGTGAAACGCGGGCAATACCGTTGGCGCCAGAAAAAAGAAAACAACAACAACAAAGAACAAGTAAACAGCGACGCTAGGGTCGCTAAGCCTCTACATGATCATCCGCTGGACCAAATCTATCATTGTTTTCGGATCACGTATTATTCGTCCTTTCAGGATGATTTAAAATCTTCGGTTGTCCTTCGTCCTTTTAAAGGGAGGGGAAGGTTTGTGTGAAGGGAAGAGACGGAGTATGTTCCCTAGCCTCGGTAGCCCCACCGGCTCTTAGTAACTTACTTTGCAGCGTAACGTACGCTGCTGAAAAAGGCGACCATTCTCTTGTTTCAATGAACAAACTGCCCGCATTTTTCCCATTAAATGTTCCATGGAATTTAATTTATGTTCGTAGAAAAGGCATCTGTAATGAGTGTTCATTGGCGGCCAAAGTTGTGTGTGCAACTGATGAGTGCGTGCAGACAGTGACCTTCAATAGTTTTTTGCAATGTGCATTTCGCATTATCAAGATTGGCGGTCTTGGCAGCTTGTTAACGTGAGCTCGTTCTAAGCATGCGCTCTAAACATCGCCCTCAAATATGGCGTACAGTGAATACCCTCTATACTCTGTTTCATACTTAGTGGACAACGCTGTCAAAGCTGCTGGCGCGAGCATGGAGCACGCGTTCTCGCGCAAAGGAATCACTAGATGAAGCCACGCACTCGCGCCAGAAGCTTTGACAGTGTTGTATACCAGGCATGAAGTGAAGCCTTACCGCTTTCGAATCCTTTTGAGGAGCCAATTCTGCAAATAGCAGAGCTTTTTATTATTATTATTATTGTCATTATTATTATTTGCCTCGCTCCGGCTCGAGGAACGGATCACTTGACACTGCCGCTACCTGAAGTATCTGTAATTTTCCGCAACGTGGCTCTATCTACTTTGGATTACGTTCCGAGTTTCACGCCGGTTGTTCATCAATACACAGTGGCACGTCACAAGGTTGCGGTTAGCTGACGCATCTTGCGTCGGTATCTCTGGATTTGGGCCAGTTCTGAAGGAGGGCGCCAAGGACGTTGGCACCGAGTTAACTGGGGACTAGTTTTACGTCGTAACGATGCGACAGCGGGCGTCGTGTCGTGGTGCGCACGTTGAACGCGTTAGGTAACATATGTTGGCGTTCGGGTCATCGTTCTATCACTCCGTTGGGGGACACCCAGTGTTTCCGGCGTGCTCGCCTAGAGGGAAAACCTAGTAGCAGTGGGGGTTGACAGAACTGTCAGCAAACTCCGGTAATATTTCTTTATTTTTTTTGTGTGTGTGTGTGATTATGTCAGTACTTCCCGCGCTCCCATAGTCGCATCACCTCGTTCTGGAGGCTCTGACAGCACGAAACAAATAGGGAACAATTATGCGACAAGAGTTGATCTTAAGGCAATTCTCGGAGCATGTCGAAGACATACGTCGTCCAATTAGAATGTCAACTTTGCTTTATGGTTCCTTAGGCAGTTCTTAATACCAGATCGTGTGTATCCTTTATGGATGGGCGGGATTCTGCCTAATGCACGACCGGCTGCTTGGGGTCTTTAACGGGCATCACGCTTTAGTGATTTAAGATGCTCGGACGCCGGTTACGATGTCCGTGAATGTCGAATCTGAGAAGAGTGTAGATATGACGTTATCTTCTCCGAGCGCCCGAGCTTTCTCCTCACGTCTTGCCTGACTGCGATGAATTATCTTACCAGGCTAGTCATTCTAGATAGGTTACTTCCTCGCACGTGTTCAGGAATGCCGCTATTATAGGTCAGTCTCTTATGCCTACGCTCAACCTCTGTTTGGTTGCAGCCAGTGAGTGTATCCTGGTTAGCCTCCAACAAAGCGTCAAACAGCGGACTTATGTCGAACGGAAGATTTAATAACGCTAGCGATATCTCGCAGGCAACGGTCATGGTAACATTGTTTTTCACAGGATATTCAAATAGTATGCCTAACATTTTAAAATGTAGCGTCTAATAAACTACATCAAGGGAGGGACAAGATAGCTCTCTTCGTAACTTTCTGTATTTCCTATAACCTCTAAACAAGCAAATACTTGTGTAATATATATATATTTAAAAAAAATTACATTATGTTTTTGTTTTGCGTATGCCCAATGGTGTCATTAATCCATCCCTATGCGCCCTTTATGTACTCCTCTTATCTAGAGTCCAGTCCCCCACTGACACGGATGATGCTCATGTACAACAAGTACCTTAACCCTCACGTGGACTTTTTTTTATATCTTTTAAGAAGTTTAAGAATAGTATTGTGGTTAGGATTGCCGTGCAGTTTGTTTAGTTCAGGGCTGTTTTATAATGTAAAGTGCAACCCTAAAAAAGCCTCTAAAGCTGTTTGGGGAACACAATAAAACTGACTGATTGATTGATTCACCGATATTGCTACTTGAGGCACATTAATGTAGCCTATACACACCAATAACCACCAATGCCATTCTACCGGAATTACGGCGACTTTTTAACGACGGACCATGGGAAGACTGCCTAGTTACAAGAAGCGCACGTCAAACCAGGAATTTACATGCGTTAGGAATTCGGTGTACTCTTGCGATAATTCAAGTTGAACGCTCTCTATCGCGTCCGTCTTTCGGTCGTATACTGACACCACAAGGAAGGTAAACAAGCCAGAAACTCCTCGGAGGTGCCGGTCGCATACCTTGCATTCTTGACCGCCTCTTGGTTTCGTCGTTCAACAGGCGAGCACGTGCTAGCCTCCCGCCTCAAGCAGGCCAGGCTATCGGTACTACCGGGAATGCTCAAAGCGCTCCCCCGAACATTCCGTATGCCACGTGTTACGTGAAGAAATAGTCTTAATTGCACTCAAAAAAGCCAAAGGTGTGTTTTGTTTTATTCAAACCTGGCAGTAAAGATTAGTTCGGTAGGAGGTTCCATCTTTTGTGAAATTTTGGCAACACCGAGTTAGCCTACGGCTGTCATCATTAAACCCGATCTCAATCTGGAATCTCAAAGTGCCCCGCCGAACTATGACGCAGTGTTTGGGTCCCATTGTTTGGAGGGTAGACTTTCGCAGAGCTGCCCATTCTGACCACATGCCGCGCTGACTAGTATTCGTCCGTGGCGTCTCCTCTTCGCTGCCCTGGGGCTAAGATATCATCAGGCAGGCGGCAGAATTTGGCGGAACAAACTTACTACGCTTCCTCCGTCACCGAGGCCACGTAAGCGTGCCGCCGACTCCACGCGGCTACCAGCTGTGACGGGCTGTAGTCGGTCGCGCGCAGGCGCGTTGCCCGCAGGTAGGTGCAGTCGTGGCGCCGGGCGTTCGCTTGACTTGCTTTCTCTACGTTCGCTGCGGCTTGAATACGCCACATATCGTCGCGCGACTCCGGCAAACGCGATTGTTTAATCATGTGGATCACGCTGGAGAAGCAGCAGAACAGGGCGAAAGAAAGGTTCGTGCTATTCATAGCTGAACGTCTGTGAGAATTGCGCTTACGTCGTGAGGGAGATGCTTTTGTTTTCAATTTTGTTTTGGAATTCGCGCAGCGTACAACGAAAACGGCGCGTTTTACGTAACAGCTTAAATGTCAATGCCTTCTTTAATTTTTCTTTTTTTACAAGTGGACGAGATTTGCTTTTACTGGAGAGTGAAATCTCTTCAACGGCGATCTGAAAACTTTTATTGGGCGTCTGACAATAACTACTTTTTGTTATAAAATAACGAAAGGTTGTGCAGTATGAAGGACATGATAGTTCCTATCTTGTGCTTCACACTGTACGACCTTCCGTGTAATTGTCAAGCTTCGTCGGATTGTCTTTCTCCCATAGATTTC